TTTTTGTGTAAGGTGTAAGGAAGGGATCCAATTTCAGCTTTCTACATATGGCTAGCCAGTTTTCCCAGCACCATTTATTAAATAGGGAATCCTTTCCCCATTGCTTGTTTTTGTCAGGCTTGTCAAAGATCAGATGATTGTAGATGTATGGTGTTATTTCTGAGACCTCTGTTCTGTTCCATTGGTCTATATATCTGTTTTGGTACCAGTACCATGCTGTTTTGGTTATTGTAGCCTTGTAGTATAGTTTGAAGTCAGGTAGCATGATGTCTTCAGCTTTGTTCTTTTTGCTTAGGATTGTCTTAGCTATGCATTCTCTTTTTTTGGTTCCATACGAACTTTAATTTTTTTTACCGGGAGCTCAAATTTGAAGAATAATTTACTAATAAATATATATTACTGGAATGATTGAATAAGTGCAAGAAGAAATAAATGAGGCATTCATTATTTCTAATTGATTTGATGCTTCTGCTCTTTGTCTGTGAGCAGGGCATCTCCCCATGTCTGTTCCTAATCCTGCTCTCTTCTCTCCTCTCTCACCCCAGGACTTAGGTGCATCCTGCAGGGTGACTCTCATCCCCCTGGGGCAAATGACTGACACGAGGAACCCTGACCTCCTGTGCTGCTCTTTGTATCTTGCTATGGTTTTAGTGTCTCCCTTCCAGAATGCGTAGATTGAAAATTGCCAGTGTGAAAATACTAAGAGGTGGGCCTTTAAGAGGTGATGTAGCGTGAGGGTGGAGGCCTCAAAGCGGAGACTAGGGCCCTTATACAAGGGCTGGAGGTTGGAGGGAGTGTGCTCTCTCTTGCTTCCCTTCCACTGTCCACCATGTGAGGATACAGGAGGAAGACTCCTAACAGATAACAGTGCCTTGATCATGGAATTCCTAGCCTCAAAAAACTGTGAGCAAGTAAATAGCTGTTCTTTATAAACTGCCCAGTCTGTGGGACTTTGTTTTAGCAGCACAAAATGGACTAAAATATGTCTGTGTCCTACAGACCTTGATTTTGCAAAAAAACCCAAAAAACAGACACACAAAATGAACTTGCTTCCCTTCATATTGTGTGTGTGTGCGCGCACACACACACACACACATCCTGCACAACAGCAAAGTGAGACAATACCCACCCAGTCAAACCAACTGCAACCATCAGCCTCATCCAAGGCCTCACTTTGTGTCAAGGACCACAGTCACCCCTTAGGTCCTTCCTCCTCAGCCTCCTCCAGCTCCCAGGGACCAGCCCTCAGCTCTCCTGACACATCCTCACCTGCTCTGCTGCCTTCAGGATCTTTCTTGAAAGTGGAACCAAAAATGTCTCTCTAAAGCGTCTGTTTCATCCATCCTGTCTCCTGTTTACATCTCTGACAACCCCAGATAATGAACCAATCCATTTTCTGTGAAAGGAGCTGCTCAGGCCTCTGCTCCCAGAGCCTTCTGCATTCTCCCCTCACTGCAGCCTCCTCACATTGGGTGGTCCTCGTATTCCTTACATGCCCTTCTTCTAGTAACTCAGAAGTCCTTATAGAAAAGCTCTTTATTAAGATCAGTAACTCAGGACAGAGTGAGTGTGTGACCCATGGATGCTGTGGACCTATGGGGACCAGGCTCTCAGGTGACTCCACTCACGATTCCCACTGAGAGACTGCAGTGTAACCAGTGAGCAGCAGGGGGCGCTGTGGGCCTGTCTCAGGGTCTGCACAGAGGGAACCCACAGCTGTGCCACCCACCAGACTCCCCAGGGCAGCGTCTCCTGCCCACAGAACTGTGGAAGGTCCCAGCAGCTGCTTCCTCCCTGGTCCTTCCTATGGGGCTGACTCTGAGTCTTACACGTTAGTCCTTTCCATACCAAGAAGCAAGCTCAGACTGCAGTTGCTTCTCGGGATGGGGCTGAGGTCACCAGGAAGACAGACAAATGTGTGGGAACAGCCCCTCCTCTGTCAGGCCAGTGAAGAAGATAAAAGCAGCCTCAGGTGACAGAGCTGAGACTGGCATGTCAACTGTGCCCACCATGGCGTGGACATCTTCTCTTTGTGCTTCTCTTCCACTGCACAGATGAGCCAGTTTTCCTGGACCTAGGGCAGCTCCCAGCCTGTGTCAGTCCCTCTGACTTTGAACCCCAAGGAGTTTAACTCTTAAGTGCTCTATCACCAAAGTGTGTCTGTGTTTGCAGGTTCTCTCTCCCAGTCTTGTGCTGACTGAGTCACCCTCCCTCTCTGCATCCCCGGGAGCATCAGCCAGACTCACCTGCACCCTGAGTAGTGACATCAATGTCAATGTAAAAAGTATATCTTGGTACCAGCAGAGGCCACGGAATCATTTCCAGTATCTCCTGAGCTACTACTCAGACTCAGTTAAGCACCAGGGCTATGGGGTCCCCGGCCGCTTCTCTGGATCCAAAGATGCCTCAAGTAACTCAGGGATTCTGCATGTCTCTGGGCTGCAGCCTGAGGACAAGGCTGATCATCATTGTAAGATACGGTATGACAGCATTAATGCTTACACAGTGCTCCAGACCCATAGAGAAGTGAGCAAAAAGCCCCTCTCCACTTGCCTAGTCTGGTGCATTCACCCTGGTGGTGGCTTTGATGAAGCCTAGGTCAGGGTTTAACTTTTGTTGTTACATTTTCAACCAACATATCTAATTTTCTTCAAGCCAGTAGATCTCAAAATGGTACAACTTTTTATTTTATTTTTGACTTTTAGATTGCTAATATATGTTTACCATCATGTTTTCAGAGACAAAAATTGTTTGATTAGGGATCTAAAAATGTTCTTAATGGGGACATTGAAAGAGACAAAAAGAGGTTTATTCTAGCCGTGCCATACTCAGAGTCTAGGAGTGACTCAGAGTTGCTTCTGATGTAAGTGCTTCAGTGTGGGATGGGTAATACACCAACCTGCAGAAATTAATTATATTTTATGTACTAGCAATGAACTGTCAAACATCCTTAAACAAAAACAGTATTAATAATAACATATATTAAAATCTGAGAGAAATGAAAGACTCGTATATTGAAAAGTACAGAATATTGAAAAAGAAAAAATAAATAAGCATTCTTTGTTTGTGATTCAAACACTGAATATGGTTAACAAAACAATTTTTCACAAATCAAGGTACTCCTGGTGCCAACAGCCTCCTAGTAGAAAAACAAACCAAAGGTCACTAAGAAACACAAATGTTACTAAGAAAAAATTACCAAATGGGCTTCAGTCGTAGACAACGGGAAGTGCACGCCATGATCCAACAGTTTATTGCAGGGATGCAAAGATGGCTCAGTGTGGACATCAGTCAATGCAATCCACTGCATTTCCAGGCTAAAGCAGAACAACCATGTGATTGCATCAATCAATACAAAAAAGCATTTGACAAAATTCAACATTCATGATAAAAATCTTATAAGTAGCAGAAATATATGATTTCTCCTCAACATGAGAAAATAGAAGATACCTGTAATTCACGTCACACATGAAGGTGAAATACTGCTATTCCCCTTTCACCATCGTATCTGTTAATGATTCCTCCTAACTATGGGATTCCTCCTTCCTCCTGATGCAGTGGCTGGACCTCCCTTCATCAAGAACTGCCAGAGTGCCCCTGGTCTGCTGGTGGAGTGGGTAGTCTCCTCTGTTTTCTTCTAGACAAGATTCCTTTCCCAGGGACTCTAAGGAACTTCAACTGCCTGCAATCCCTGGGAACTTGCAGGATGGAGAAAGATGGGGGTGGGAGGGTCCCAGAGTGAAGAGGGTGCCTGAGAAAAAGCTCCTGCTGAGGGGTGTCCAGACATCCTGCAGAGAGCGCTGTGGACTCTGGGTTTGCTCTAGTGCTCACCGGCCCCCTCGTGGTTGTTTCTGCCACTCTCATGGACTTAAATGGCCTCCCTCCAGCTGCTTCTGTCTTGAGTTGGAGCTCAGGCATGACTGGGGGGTCAAGAAAGGGGTGACATTGCCTTAGTGAGGGAAGGTACATGCAGGTCTCACTCCCTGGAAGTTTCAGTATTAATATGAGAGCAGCTGGGACCCAGCCGTGGCTGTATCTGCTACAGAATAAGAATGTGTGTGTAGCGGGGCTAGGATGTCCCCACTTTGAACCAGATTCCTTTTGTCCTGGTCTTTTTTCCTCTGCACAAGCCGTTGCCTCAAAAAATCATAGGAAGGCCCCTGGTGGCCCTCAGGTCATGCTGCAATCTTCTCTGTGGGGTACAGGGAGATAATCTGAAAACTTCGGATTTCTGTGTCTCTCCTTTGCAGGCCCTTGGTCCGGTATGTGATGATTTAAGCCGCTTTGTTGGGTGTTTGTTGTAGAAGATGAAAGTCTCCTGTCAACACAGATGTGGCAGCTTGATTTTACTACCTGCCCTGCTCTCAGATCATGGCTGAGCATCACCCACTGATCAACAGTGATAGCCACCTGTGCACGATGCTTCAGGTCCCCAGGACCATGAGGGACACCCCACCTTGGGTGGCCTTCACTGTGAAGTGGTTTCCACTAAATCATCAGCAAGTTGGACAGAGCCTGTCCTGCTCTCTTAGGCAGCTTAGACTTAAAAGTGATGGTTTATACCATAGATTTCATTATCCTTCTATATAGAGGTTCTTCTGGCATCTTGTGGGCCACTTCAAAAGCTAATATCAGAGAAACAGCATGAGCTATGCTGTAAAATGCCCTCACCACTAACTGGTCCTTGTGGTAGTCCTAAGTCTGATTTTGTGATTCTACAATAATTTTATCACAAAGAAACTGGGACGTGAAAGAGATGTTCGTAGTCTGTGTTGAAGTGATTTTTTTTTTGAGACGGAGTCTTGCTCTGTAGCCCGGGCTGGAGTGCAGTGGCCGGATCTCAGCTCACTGCAAGCTTCGCCTCCCGGGTTTGCGCCATTCTCCTGCCTCAGCCTCTGGAGTAGCTGGGACTACAGGCGCCCGCCACCTCGCCCGGCTAGTTTTTTGTATTTTTAGTAGAGATGGGGTTTCACCGTGTTAGCCAGGATGGTCTCGATCTCCAGACCTCGTGATCCGCCCGTCTCGGCCTCCCAAAGTGCTGGGATTACAGGCTTGAGTCACCGCGCCCGGCAAAGTGATTGTTTTAAGGGTGTATACATGTGTCCAAACTTACCTGGTTTACACGTGAAAGAGTTTGATTGTAACTCATATTTCACCAGAGTTGCCCAAGTATGTTTCAGACAAGTTCAGGTGTGTTCAGGGTGGTATGGGCGTAGATGTGTACTAGTATATTTTACTTTCTTTCCCATGAAAGAGAATCTTTCTCTAACTCCTCTTACTGCCCAGCGCCCACAACACCATCAGAGCCCTGCAGTGGTCACCCTGTAAGGTTCTCTGTCCCTTTAACATAGAGTTATTTAGTGCATTGCACACTGTGCTAATTTCCCATGAATCCCAAACAATTTGTTAGAATATTGTGCGATTACCTGCTCATGAGCAGAACCCCACTCTGCACTCAGACCCAGGTCACAGTCACCTCTTCCCCTGGTCCCTGTGGAAGGAGTTTCTCAGGCCTTTGCTCCCAGGGCCCTCTGCGTTCCCACCTCTCTGCAGTCTCCTCACATTTGATGTTCATCATTTTTCAGATGTCCCTTTCAAGTAGTATTTTGGATAGCCTTTGGTTGAAATGGCTATTAATACCTGTTTTCTTGGGACATAGCAGGGATGTGGCCATGGATGCTGTGGACTGACAGTAAACAGACTTTCAGGAGACTCCACGCACGTGATTTCCGCCAAGAGACTCCAGTCTGGCCAGTGAGCAGCAGGGGGCACTGTGGGTCTACCTCATAGACTGCACAGGGTGAGCCACAGCTGTGCCAACCCCCACCCCCAATTCCCCAGGGCTGGGCAATGGAGCCTGCACCCACTGAGGCAGACTCAGCAGCTGTGCCCTCTTTTGGTGTGGTCCCAATACCTGCCTCCTCCCAGGTCCTGCCTGCTAGAGTCCCCTCTCCACCAGCCCCCAGCTCCTAAATAAATGCATTAGAGGAGGAGATGGGCAGTGAGGGGGACACATTGACATCATAATCCCTCCTGTATGAGGCCTGGGGAGGGGATAAGAGGCCTGTATCCATAACCCCTCCTCTATGAGGCCAGTGGAGGGAGTAAGAGAGGCCTGCTCCAGCTCTGGACCTCAGGAGGGCTGTGTCCACGCATGACCTGGGCTGCTTGTTTCCTCCTGCTTCTCTCACTTCTCAGGTAGGGACAGGGCTCACATTTGCAGGGACAGCTTCTTAGCCTGAATGAATCACCCCTGGTATGGATGTCCTCTAAGCTTGGAATTTTCTCCTGTTTCCTTATCCATGTGTGTCTGTAGGTTTCTTCTCACAGCCTGTGCTGACTCAGCCACTCCCTCTCTGCATCTCTGGGAGCATCGGCCAGACTCGCCTGCACTCTGAGCAGTGGCTTCATTTTTTCGTGCCTATCACATGTCTTGGTACTAGTAGAAGCCAGGGAGCCCTCTCCAGTTTCTCTCATACTACTACTCAAAATCAAGTAAGGACCAGGGAGCTGGGGTCCCAAGTCATTTCCCTGCATACACACATGCCTCAGACAATGCAGGAATTCTGCACGTTTCTGGGCTTAAGGCAGAGGATGAGGCTGATCTTGTAAAACATCGTGGCAACAGTAACACGCAATGCTCCAGACCTAGGCGGAAGTGAGAGTGAAACCACCTCTGCGTTCTCCATGCCTGGTATAGTCATCACTGCCCTGCCCGGGACGAAGTGTAGCTCAGGGGTGATTTCTGCTTTCACTTCTTCAGTTAAGCCTACTTTCCTAGGATCTGTAAATGTAAACATCTTTTTGCTTTTTCTTAGCTAAAATGTTAATTTGATTCTTTGCTAACACCCTTTTCCCCAATTATGTTTATAGTGTCATCAATCAGCTCTCAGGATTCAGCATCCTTCCAGGGAGATGATGGAGGAGAAAGGAGGTGGTGACTCCTCCCATGCCTAGCCTTGGGCCTAGGCCTGACTCAGAGACGTGTGTGATCTGAGAGCTTCTGTTCCGTGGTCCAGCAAACCCCAGGCCCGCTCCACTGAGCACCTTCCAGACTGAAGTCACTTTCCCTACAACTGCTCATTTCAACTTCTTCCTGGGAATTGTTCTACCCTCTTGAGGCCCAGAGGAAGCAAATCTGTGTGGCTCCAGGGATTTTGGGCAAACAGGGTCTTCTCCATAGTGAGATGTGACTGTGTCTGTGACCTTCCTGTGTGCACAGGACAGCCAGACTCAGGCGTGCTCCCCCTCAGAGTCAGGTTCTGTAACAGACGTCCCACTCGTGCATCCCGTGCTTCCTTTCAGAGTCAGGTTCTGTAATAGACATCCCACTCCTGCATCCCGAGGTCATCTGCTGCTCACGCTGAGACTTCAGTGAGTCTAGGGACTCTCGGGGATGAGGGACATTCTCATATGAAGAAGATCCATCCCACAAATGTTTCGATGGAGGATCGTGGATCTGTAGGGGAGCTGTGTCCACTCTGAGATTCCAGGAAGTGACTCTGTGGACACCTTGGCCTGGCCTCCCCTCCTCTGCCTTCTCTGCAGAAAAGCTCCTTCATTTTCCCTCTTTTCCATACCCAGGACAGAATAGAGTCTTTGTACTGGCTTCAGATAACTGTGAGAGTTAAAAGGGGTAATCTGTGGGTGACTCCAAAGCCCCTCTCAAAGTTAACTGACTTGGGCTTGTCGTGACTGCACGTGCTCCCCTTCCCATGACATCAGCTTTCCCTGAGTTCCCCAGGTGCCCTGAACATTGATTCCTGTCTTGTCCTGCATCTCCCCTGAGCAGCTACAGATTCTTCCTCCATATAACCTCCCTCCTTGCATGATTTCTCATCCGCTTAATTTATTAAAAGATAGAGAATCTGAGGGTTTTTCCTCTCGGAGTACAAACCCCAAACTACTCAGCTGCCCTGGCCCAGCCCATCTCTTCTCCTTATGAGGTTTATGAGAGGCAGAAGAGCCACGAGCCTTGCTATTCTTGGAAATGTCCCAATAAAGCCCAATTGGTGCCAACACTATAGGACAGAGTGCTGTTTGCATTTGCAGATGGAGCCCGTTGAGGACAATTTTCATTCCTGAATATGGATATTTGGAAGCGTGGACCAGCTGAGCTGGGGAGGGGAGGCACTCCCTCGTTTTGGACACAGCCTGTTGGGCTGGGATTGCTACTGACCTCGTGGTGATGGGGTTATGTTGCCTCTCAGAGTAAGTCCTGGACCCTCAGATGTGCTGGGGAACTTTGGTTAGAGATACGATGTCATTTACTTGATCCTCCTCAGTAGTTTTGACAATATTTTGAGTCCCTTGCAGGACACCGTACTCGGGGTTCTAGCAGCCTGGCTCTTGTGATTTGGAAGCCTGTTACCATGCAGCGTCCTGTCAGGGGATCTTTGTGTGCGCACTAGGCCTAGATGCGGTCATAGACGGGACTTCTCTGGAGACTAGATTCAAACTGATCAACCCCCCCTACCAAGCTGTCCCCATTTAATGACACTTGCCTGTTGTTGTGTCAATCTTTTTGTAAGAAGGGAAAAGCTTTCCCCCAACTCTGCCGTTAACCATGGACTGGGGAATGCAGGTGGAGTTGTCACATGGGTGATTTTAAATACAAGAAGGTTCTGACTTTGTTCCTCAGCCTGAGACTATGGGGAGGTATGAGATAGTCCTCTGGATTCTTTGTATCTCTTGTTCCAGAGACAAAAGATCAGAAAAGTGGACCAGATTTTCACTCTGAACTGAAACAGATCTTCAAAATGAAGTCTCACATTTTCAACTGTGGGTGGTAGACCAATTTCTCTTCTTATAATTGTAATAAAGTTGAATTATTACAAAGTATAATTAGTAAATTATAATTACTTTATCGTTTCTTGTAGGACATCAGAAAGGTAATGATACAAAAATTATGGAATTGGAAAAGGAATGTAAGGCGATTTAGGTTAATGTGAAAACTTCTGCAGTTCCTGACACACCTTGGGAATTTATTGAATACATTTGCACATGAGAAAGCCGCTGTCCAGGTCAGAGAAAATTACACAGACATGATGGGCAGGAGAAATGGTGGGAAGTCAGGTAAGTAGCTATCTCTATCCTTAATAATTTCATCAAAATTTTATAGAATATTTGAGTTTTAACTTGCTCAAGTAAAGAAATTCTGTTGAACACATGAGCTATACTAGTAATAGTGCTAAAGTAGCCATAGAATCTTTGAGAAGCTGAGGTGGGTGGATTGCTTGAACCAGGAGTTCACGACCAGCCTGGCCAATGTGACAAAACCCCATCTTTACTAAAAACACAAAAATTAGCCAGGTGTTGTGGTTTGCATCTGTAGTCCCAGCTACTCAGGAGGCTCAGGCAGGAGAATCACTTGAACCCAGGAGGCGGAGGTTGCAGTGAGCTGAGATGGTACCACTGCACTTCAGCCTGGGTGACCGAGTGACTGTGTCTCAACAAACAAGTGATAAACCATCCATAGAGTAACTCTCATTCATGGCTGGTGAGGATGTAAAATGTTGTCAGCCACTTTGGAAGACAGACCGGCAGATCTTACACAGCTAAGCACACTTTTTCATTACCACCTAGCAATCCCATTATTTAGCCCAATAAGTTGGAAATCTGCGTTCACACAAACCTGCATATAAATGCTTATAGCAGCTTTATTTATAATTTCTAAAGCCTGGAAGCAGTCAAAATGCTGTTCAATGGATGAACGAATAAACTGCTGTACTTACACTATGATTATTTAGTGAATAAAAATAAATCAGGTAGACCGGGCATGGTAACCCATGCCTGTAATGCCAGCACTTTAGGAGGCTGAGGTGGGTGGATCACCTGAGGTCAGGGGTTCAAGACCAGCCTGGCCAATGTGGTGAAACCTCGTCTCTACTAAAAATACAAAAATTAGCCAGGCGTGATGGCAGGTGCGTATAATCCCAACTACTCAGGAGGCTGAGGCAGGAGAATTGCTTGAACCCCGGAGGCAGAGGTTGCAGTGAGCCAAGATCATGCCACTGCACTCCAGCCTGGGCAACAAGAGCGAATCTCTTGTCTCAAAAAAACCAGCCAAACAAAATGGAGGCAACCTGAATACATATTGCCGAATGAAAAAGTCAATGTGAAAATGCCACATACTCTTATTATTCCAACAATGTAACACTATAGAAAAGGTAAAACTAGAGATATAGGAAAAAAGATCAAGAGTTCCAGAGTGGAGAAGGAGGGATGGCTGGCTGGATCAAAGCACATTTTTAGGGCAGTGAATCTGTTCAGTGTGTGATTTTGATGGTGTCGCCATGACATTAAGCAGGAGGCAGAACCCATAGGACTGTGCAGTGCAGAGAGTGAGCCCTGATATAAATGAGGAGCCATGGTTAATGATAAAGTATTAGCATTCATCTATCAATACTGAATTATACAATTTTATCCAATGTACAACATAGATGCAAGGTGTTAAAACAGGAGGCTCTGGAAGGATAGGATAAAAGGAAATGTGTGTGAACTCTATTCTTACTGCTCAATTTTTTCTTTACGCATAAAACTGCTATGAAAACAAAGTAATTTTACAAACCTAAGGAAAAAAGTAATAGATCCTAAAAGTGTGTGTGTGATAGTTTTTAAACCAAAAGTGGGAGTTTATGTTTAAATAACCTTTAAAAATTTTGGGAGGCTGAGGCAGGCAGATCACGTGGTCAGGAGATTGAGACCATCTGGCTAACACGGTGAAACCCCTTCTCTACTAAAAATACGAAAAATTAGCTGGGCGCAGTGGCGGGCGACTGTAGTCCCAGCTACTCTGGAGACCGAGGCAGGAGAATCAGTTGAACTTTTGAGGCAGAGATTGAAGTGAGATGAGATTATGCCACTGCATTCCAACCTGGGTGACAGAGCGAGACTCCGTCTCAAAAAAAAATTACACAAAAGTGTTTGACTACTACGTATTAATAAACACTGAAGGAAGAAATTTAGTGGAATGTTTGTCAGAGAGGCAACAGACCAGGAAGTTACAGTTACCCTGTGAAAAGGCATCATCTAGGATTCATAGGAAACATTTGCAAATTGGCAACAACCACCACCACCACAATCTAAACCAAATGAAAGAAATAGACACTTATACAGGGAAAATATAGACAGATAATAAGGGTAATAAATTTTGTGAATTTCCACTTGAAAACAAAGAAACAGAAATAAAACCTATGTGAAGAAGTGGTGGAGTGAGCCGAGCTGGGGTAGGGGCAGTGAGGGCTAGTTTTCACATTGACCAAGGGTGTAGCAGCATTCCCTTTCCTTTGCTGCCTCGCCAGCATGTTGTTTTGACTTTGAAAAAATGCTCATTGTGACCAACGTGAGATGATATCTCATTGTGTTTGGGTTGTGCATTTTTTCATGTTGGTTGATCACTTGAACGTCATCTTTTTTTTTTTTTTTTTTGAGACAGTGTCTCATTCTGTTGCCCAGACTGGAGTGTAGTGGTGCAATCTTGGCTCGCTGCAACCTCCGCCTCCTGGGTTCAAGCAATACTCCTGCCTTAGCCTCCCGAGTACCTGGGATTACAGGCAAGCACCACCATGCCCAGCTAATTTTTGTATTTTTAGTAGAGATGGGGTTTCAGCATGTTGGCCAGGCTGATCTTGAACTCCTGGACGCAAGCTATGCACCTGCCTCAGCCTCTGAAAGTGCTGGGATTGCAGGCGTGAGCCACCATGCTCAGCCTGTTCCCTTACATTTCTTTACAAAAATTTACCCTGTGGTAAAGGTGTACTACCAGAGGGTAGAATGAGACACTTTGGTCCGTGTGTACGTTGTGTAATGATGAAATCAGGGTATTTAGCATCTCTCTTTCCTCATAGAGTTATTATTCCTTTGAGGTGAAGACATTCAGAATCCTCTTTTCTAGCTTTCTTGAAAAGTACACTCTGATAACGTTAGACCTAGTCACCCTGCTGCTGTGGAAAAGAACTACAGGCTTCCTTCCTCTCATGGAATATGTAACTTTATACCTGTTTCCAATCTCTGACCATGCCCCACCTTTGAGCCCCAACCCGTGGTAAGAACAGTTATACTTACTAGTTGTATGAAATAAAGTTTTGTGGATTCCTCCTGAGTAAGACAATGTGATGTTTGTCTTTCTCAGCTTAGTTTATTTCTTTTTTCCATTTTTTTTTTTTTTTTGAGATAGTGTCTGGCTCTGGTTGCTCAAGCTGGAGTGCAGGGGTGCAACCTCAGCTCACTCCCACCTCAGCTTCCTGAGTAGCTGGGACTTTTGAGAAATGTCTCTTCAGGTTCATTGCCCAACTTTGGCTGGGTTAGTTGGTTTTGCATGTTTTGCTTCTTAGTAGCATTAGTTTCTTGTGCATACCATGTAACAACCTCTTTCAGATAAATGATTCCTCATCATGCCCTCCCTATATGAAGAATGCCTTCTTATTGTTGATTGGTTCATTGCTCCCTTTAGCATGCCGTCGTTCTTGAGTTTTCTTTTTCACGTGTTGAGTTTTCCTTTTGTTAGCAGCAATTTTGGGTCAGGCCAGAAAGAAAAATCACAATTTGGATGCATTTCATTGATTTTGAGTGTATTTTCCATATATTTCCTGTTTTTTCTTTTTGCAACCTATGAGCATAGATGAAGTTGCTCTGAGCTTCCACTCACTCTGTGTTTTCCTGTAGAAGTTTTATGCTTTTGGGTCTTGTGTTTAGGTTTTCATTTATTTCAAGTTGGTATTTGTGTATTGTGTAACATAAAGGTCCTATTTCATTCTTTTTCATGTGGATACCCAGTATTTTCAGATTCATTAATTGAACAGACATCCCACTCCTCATTACATCTTCCAGGCATTCTCTTGAAAACAGTGTGTTGACTCCATACAGATGTACGTTTAGGTTCTGTCATGTCTGCATGGTTTCATTGTTAGGCCACTGCCATAGTCTTCGGATGAGTAGATCTTTTCCATGTAATTTGAAATTAAACAGTGTGAGGCCTCCAAATGAGTTTATATTTCCTAGGATTGCTTTGCATGTTCAGAGTCTATGGTAGTTCCATGTGAATTTTTAGCTGTGTATAGTTACATTTCATGACAAATTCGGTTCTTATTGCATGTCCAGAATGAGGGGTGCAATGGGGACATTGCAGTACTTGTGTCCCTTGCATAAGGGTTAAGGATAAGCTCAAGGAGGTTTCCATGTTTTGTGTGTGGGTTTCCAGATTTCTTAAGGTCGTTTACAGAATAGTCGTTTCCCATTTGTTTGGGGTTTTTTTGTTTGTTTGTTTGTTTGTTTGTTTGTTTTGATACAGAGTTTTGCTTTTTTGCCCAGGCTAGAGTGAAGTGGTGTGATCTTGGCTCACTGCAACCTCTGCCTCCCAGATCCAAGCGATTCTCCTGCCTTAGCCCCCAAGTAGCTGGAATTACAGTCACATACCACCATGCCGGCTAATTTTTCTATTTTTATTATAAGAGATGGTGTTTCACCGTGTTAGCCAGTCTGATCCCAAACCCCTGACATCAAGTGGTCCACCTGCCATTGCCTCCCAAAATGTTGGGATTACAGGTGTGAGCCACTGCATCTGGTCTTTTGAGAAATCTGTTGACTGTGAGTGCATTCAGGTTTGTCTCTTTTCTACCTGATACTGTCCAATGATAAATGTTTCTATTTTTATGCCAGTTCCTTGCTGCCTCAGTAAGTATAGCTTTTCGATGTAATTTGACATCGGGGAGTGTGAGGCATTCAAGTGATTTTCTCTTTCTGGGAAGTGCTTTGGATTTTCAGGGTCTTCTATGGTTGTCTGAATTTTGCCATTGTCCATTTATAGTTTTAAAATTGGGTTTGTCATACATGTCCAAAATTAGGGGGTACAGTGGGATTTTTTTTACTTGCGTACTTCGAGGAATGATGAAGTCAGGGTGTTTTGCATATGTATTTGCATGTCTAGTTTTTATTTGTTTGCGGTGTGAACCTTCAGTGTTCCTCTCCTTTCTAGCTCTATTGAAAGAGATCCAGGTTTATCCGTGTTGCCACAAAGGACGTTATGTCATCAATCTTTGTTATTGGGGCGTATTTTGTTGTGTCTGTATACTGAAGTTCCTTCATCCCTTCATCAGTTGATGGACAAGTAGGTTGATTGCATACCTTGGCTATTGTGTGTAGTGCTTCAGTCAACCTGGGAAGGCCGCTATGGCTTCCATGCAGTGATTTCACTGTCCCTAAGTATATACTCACTGCTGGAATTGCCAGATGAAATGGTAGTTTCCTTTTTGATTGTTTGGGAAGCTCCAAGAGGTTTTCATAGTGCCTGTAGTAACAGTGATTTCTCCCAACAGTGTGTGAGAGTATCTGTTTACACAACTTCCTCTGGGGAATTTATTTGAAATAATTGGTTTCTTTTATTTGTTCAAATTAGGGTGAGTGTGTATCTGAGCGTGGTTTTCATTTACAGTTTAGAGATGACTAGTGATGTTGAGAACCTCCCTTTTTACATGTTAGTGAATTGTGTATTGTCTTTTTAGTAATGTCTGTTCAGGATTGTGTCCCAGTTTTGGCTGGGTTACTTGGTTTTGTGTGTTTTGCTCCTCAGTGGTGTGGTAGTATCAGATACATGATTCCTTATAATGTCCTTTGTATCTGAAGAATGCCTTCTGAGTGTTGGTTGGTGCATTGTTTCCTTAATGTGCAGACCTTCTTCAGGTTTTTTTTGTTTTTGTTTTTGTTTCTTGATTATTTTAGTTGTGATTTTTAAATTTTTATTTATTTATTTATTTTTTGAAATGGAGTCTCGCTCTGTTGCCCAGGCTGGAGTGGGGTGTCATGATCTTGGCTCACTGCAACGTCTGCTATGCAGGTTTGAGCGATTCTCTTGTCTGAGCCTCCCGAGTAGCTGGGACTACAGGTATATGCAACCACTCCTGGCTAATTTTTGTATTTTTAGTAGAGACGGGGTTTCACCATGTTGGCCAGGCTGGTCTTGAACTCCTGACCTCAGGTGATCCACCTGCCTTGCCCTCCCAATGTCCTGGGTTTACAGGTGTGAGCCAGCACGACTGGCTAGCAGTGATTGTTTTTGTAAGGTAAAGTCAATAACAAAAACTAGAGTTTTTGACTTCTGTTGTTGGAAGTGTTTTTTTTTCTGTTTTTCTCTTTTGTCTGTTGTTTGCTTTTATATCCTGTGAGCTTAGATTCAGGTTTTCCTCAGCTTAAGCTCACTCTGTGTTTTCCTTTAGCAGTTTTATGCTTTTAGGTCTTGTGTTTAGGGTTAAATGTATTTTGAGTTTGTGTTTGTGTATTGTATAACATCAACGTCTTATTTCATTCTTTTGTATGTGGCTATCCAGTCATTTCAGACTGCTCAATTGAACAGACTGCTGACTCCTCATCTCATCCTTTTTCCCCTTCTCTGAAAGCGCTAGGAGTACAGGTGCCACAGCACATGGCCTCATTGCATCTTCTAGGCGTTCTTTGAAAAAAATGTGTTGACTACATACAGGTGTGTGTTTAGTTTCTCTTCTGTCCCTAGGTTCATGGATTCATTTTTATGCCACTACTGTAATTTTTGGATGAGTGGAGGTGTTACATGTAATTTGAAATTGGGGATTGTGCGGCCTCCAATTGAATTTGTATTTCCAAGAATTGCTTTGCATATTCAGGTTCTTTGGGTCTTTAGTGGTTCCATGTGAATTTTTAGCCGTGTATTGTTAACATTTCATAAAACGTTTGTTTTATACTTCATGTCCAGGATTAGGGGTGCATTGGGACATTGTGATACTTGTTTGTATACCTTGAGTATGGATAAAATCGGAATTTCCCATGCTTGTGACCACGTGTAGGTTTGATATCTTCAATGTGTGAACATTCAGTATCCTCCTTGATAGCTACTTGGAAATCAGCATGACCATATTGTTAAGTATCATCGCCCTGCTTTGGACTGGAATACCAGAATGTATTCCTCTCCTGTAACTCTCTGTGTACCTATTGCCAATCCTTGATGTCCTCTCCTCCACCTAGTCTGTGGTGACCACTGCTGTATTTTTACCTTTGGGGAGTTAAATTTTTCAGCTCTCACATGAGTGAGAACATGCAGCCTTGGTCTTTGTCTGCCTTTCTGATTTGATTGAACATAATATCTGCAGGTGCAGCCATGTTGCTGGAAATGATAGGATTCCATGAATTTTGATGGCGCAAAAGTATTCCATTGTGTCTGTGTACAAGAGGTTCTTCATCCCCTTATCTGTGGATGGACAGGTAGGCTGATTTCTTTTCTTGGCTTTTGAGCATAGGGCTGAATGCCACCTGGGATGACAGATAATCTCTTCCGTGTCCTGATCATGTGCTCTGTGTATATACCTAGGAATAGAACTGCTGGAGAAAATGGTAGTTGTAGTTTTAGGATTTCAAGGAACATCCAAGTGGTTTCTTTAGTGTGCATACTAGTTCACCATTTCCCACCAGATGTGGAGACAAGTGCCTCCTCCGGAAATCCACACCTTGATTGGATTGTGTTTTCATATGTTTCAACTTTTTTTGTAGCATCCATTGCATGTAGAGTGAGATGGAATCTTGAGTGTGTTTTTTATTTTTGTGTGTGTATGATAAGTGGTACTTGCTACGTTATTGTGAATTTGTTGTTAATTTGTTGTGTAGGACTGGGCAGAGGACCTGAAGACATGAGGATGATGCACAGGTCAAAGAGAAGATTCTCACCATCGCTGATGCACACAAAAGTGTAAGTGAAAATGACACTCAGATTTCATCTCACTCCAGTTAGAATGAATACTAGCAACATTTGATGGCAGTTTTGTTTCTATAGAGAATGTGTGTGTGTGTGTATGTATACAACCCAAGGGTGCAAGGGACGTTTTCACATATGTATGTGTAGCATCATGATCAAATTATCGTCTCTGGCATCTCTGTGACATTCCATCATTATTATTTCTCCGTGGAGAGAATATTCAGAACCATATTTTTCAGCTGATTTTGAAAAAATTTTCTAGATTCTGTTGACCCTAGTCACCTAGTCACCCTGCTGTGCAGTAGAACACCAGGACGGATTTCTTGTATCTGGGTGTCACTCTGTACCTGTTACCAATATCTAAGTGTGGTTTTGATTTACATTTTGCTGTGGTTAGAGATGTTTGCCAAGTTATCATGAACTTGTTTGAATTTGATGTGTAAGACTGGCCAAAGAACCTGAAGACCTGAGAAGGATGCACAGGTAAAAGATTCTGAATCAACATTACTGATCCTCACGAGAAGTCAATCAAAACCACACTCAGATATCACCTCACTCCGGTGAGAATGAACATTACCAAAATGGGACAGCAGTTTCATTGTCGTAGAGTATGTGTGTATAACCAGCAGGTGCAAGGGACCATTTGATCTGTGTAAACGTAGCATCATAATGAAGTTGCAGTGTCTGGCACCTCTGTGAGCTCCAGAGTTATGATTTCTCTGTGGAGAGAACATTCACAACTGACCTTTGTAGCTGTTTTGAAAATTTTGGTTTTCTGTTCTTGCCTTTTGTTCATAATGGCGTACGGCGCTGTCCAGGTTTCTGGTAAGAGCATGGATGTTTTTTTATGATTGTGTAGTGTTCCGTGGTGTGTATGTACCACATTTCCTTTCTCTGATCCACTGCTGATGGGCACCAAGGCTGACTCCATGTCTTTACCATTGTGAGTAGTACTGCCGTGAACATACGAGTGCATGTGTGTTTTTCATGGAAGAATTTTCCCTCAGGTAGATCCCTTAGGAGTGGGGTTGCAGCGTTGGGTGGTAGTTCTCTTTTAGGTTCTTTGAGAAATGTCCACACTGCTCCCCAGGGGATCTGAACTAGTTTGCATTTCCCCCAACAGTGGACCTGCATTTCTTTGCTCATCTGCCCCA